CTGTCTTCGTCTGTGTTGTTGGCCGTACCAGCACTTTGCTCCTCCTGTTTCCTGTATTTCCCCCCCATTGCTAAGATGTACCAGACTGTTTATCCTTTTATCAGTCAAAGGCCATTCAAGTTCTGAATGCAGTGTTTCTTTTTTTAAATCTTTTTTTTTTTGGTTTTTATTATTATTATTATTATTATTATTATTATTATTATTATTATTTTACAACACCATTCAGTTCAACATAATAGCCACAGAATCCCCTGTTCTCCCCCTCTCGCCCACCCCTCTTTTTTTTTAAATCTTATTAGCTGTTGTGGTTGTTGTGTGTGGGCGGGCCCTGGAGAGTGTGTGTTGGGGCAGGGGGTCATTTCCGAGAACTCGTGAGGAGATCTTTAACAACTTGGTGTCATCAGTTCTCTCCTTCCACCTGTAGATGGATTCTGGGGTCTGAATTCAGTTGGCCAGGTCTGGGCAGCAAGTGTCTGCTGAGCTACCTCACCCACCTGAGCTATCTCACTCACCTGAGCTACCTCACCCACCTGAGCTATCTCACCCACCTGAGCTATCTCACCCACCTGAGCTATCTCACTCACCTGAGCTATCTCACCCACCTGAGCTATCTCACCCACCTGAGCTACCTCACTCACCTGAGCTACCTCACTCACCTGAGCTATCTCACTCACCTGAGCTATCTCACATACCTGAGCTATCTCACTCACCTAGGCTATCTCACCCACCTGAGCTATCTCACTCACCTGAGCTATCTCACTCACCTGAGCTATCTCACCCACCTGAGCTACCTCACCCACCTGAGCTATCTCACCCACCTGAGCTATCTCACACACCTGAGCTATCTCACCCACCTGAGCTATCTCACTCACCCATCTCACTGCCGTGATGGACACATACTTTCTTGATTTTTAGGGACTGTTCTTTTTTAAACCCATGTGTAATGTGAATTTCCTGTAAATGATTACATTGTTGTATGTGATAACATGTTCAGATATTTCTGCGCAGATGCTCAGTTGATATTCTGGTATTAAATGCTGTATAGCATTGAAACCTGCAGCCGAATGTACAAGGAAACACATAGGTTCCCAGTATTTTTTGCAGATGCAGAGGGGTGAACACAAAGATTAACCAAGGATACTGGTTGGAGAGCATGGTTCCCATGCCTGGGTTTATGCCTTATTGCCGAATGTTTCCCAAAGTTTTATTGAAAGATTGACCTTTGACCTCAGAGTTTCATTGAGCTCTACTGATGGTTCCCACAGGTGCCATACAGGGAAACTGCATCAACCAACAAAGGCATCCTGAACACCTGGAAGGATTCACAGTAGTGACATCTGTACCTAGTCTACAGCATCAGGGTTTGGCCTCCTTTTGCTTATCTCTCTATGGTACCCTGAGAAGTTGACAGTTGGGCTGTATAGATTGGGTGCTAAATTTACCCATGGTTAAACATTTTGTAATGTCTGCCTCAGAGTTCCAAAGTCAGATAGGGATGGATTACCTGCTGCTAAGAGCTTCATGTGGATTTATTTTAAAGGGCTCTGATCTTCTCTTGGCTACTTGCAAGCTCTCTTTGTCTTGGTAAGGATGTATCAGGTGAAAAGGAAAGAACAAATGTAGATGGACTGCTTCCCAGTGTGATTCCAAATGGACCAGAGGACAAACCCAACTGTGAAATGTGGTTAACACTGAGATTCAGGGAGTGCTGGGGTCTAGGGCTAGTTATCAGCAAAACAGGCCTGAGTTTTATTTTAGAGTTGTAGCCATTTGCTTCCCATGGGCCTTGGAATGTCATCCCTAGTCTTAGCTCTTAATTACATCACCCTTCAGGTGGTAACACTAGGAACTCAAGTGTCTATCTCTTCAACTACAGGCATAGTTAGAAAAGAAACACTAGGAGTTGACTTTGGGTAAATTCTTAAGTAAAGGTTATAAAGTCTGTAAATCAAGAGATGTAAATATCGAAGTTTGATTTTAAGGCTCTAGGCCACCTTGGGAAAGAAGTCCACCGGTAGTGTATTTTTACCCCTTAGCAAAGGGCAGAAGCATATACACACTGTTGTTTGTGATTTTCAGATTTCTCCAGTAAAATCCACTGTTTGATCTCTAGGCTTTTTGCTGTCACGGATTTTGCTCACTAATCATGCTAAACGTATTGGTCATAGCACCTACCATCTTCCAGGTTAAGCTAATTATAGCATATCCAGACCAGTGTTTCCTAGTGGGCTTTGACGATTTAGAGAAAGTGCTGATTTCCCCGCCACAGGTTAGTTTACAAGCCTTCATTCAAATGGGTAATTTAGAACCGCTCCCAACTTTTATACTTAATGCTGCAATTGTCTTTCATAAGCACGTCCAAGCTAAGTCATCTATGAGTGACTTCGTGGTACATCTCTCATTAAGAGATCTGCTTTGTGCTATGAATAAGCTAGTATATTCTTAGCACCAACACTTGGTCCCTAATGAAAAATAAAAAGAGGATTTGCAATAGAAGAGCAGAAACATCTTTTGGAGGCCTACCAACCACATGGTCATGGATTAAGTGTTTTTCTTCCGGGCACTGTCCTTTAGAATGATATCTGCTGAAGAGTGTCACAGAAGCCTGATGTAAAATGGTGGCTCTGGCCTTTTAAACTCGGATTCTTTCTCCTGTAAAGCAATATAGGCGAGAGCTTCAGCACCACACCGGAATAATGACATCTCAGGACTAGTACTGCACTCACATGAGGAAAGTCCCAGAATGGGGTTGACTCAGCACTACGTGACCAGGCTGCTTAATGTCCCGATGAATGCCATTGCCCCGAGGAATTACATGTAGAGGTGCCCAGAGCTTGTGTAAAGTTCTCTGTGCCATTTGAAAAAGGTACTTGGAGAAAAGAGAGGCTGCTTTTTAATTTTAATGTTTTACTCATTGGTTTAAGTACATTTATGGTTTGCTTTGCAAAATGTCAACAGACATCCCAAGTGGATAACATTTAAAAGAGATTGAATTTCCTGTATTTACTCTAATATCATGTAAAAAATGTGGTCATCAAGGCCTACAGGTTCATCGGTTAAGAGAGCTCAGTCAAATGATTATTCAAAGCAATGAGCTGCCTCTTCTGCTTGTCTCTCTCTGTCTCACGTTTTCACTGACTAGGATTCCAGCAAGCTATAGTTGACAGTTTAGGATGGGCTCCAATGGAGCTTCCATCTATAAGGTGCCTCAAGGATACAGTGAGGAGGTATCTGCTACCTGCTAACTCAGAGCTCATGAAAACAAACAAACAAACAAAAGCAGCATTAAATAACATGGGCAGTTGGGTATTATATACTCAATAAAAAAAACACTTTCACATAAAGGGTCTCATTTCTTGTAAGTCCTCACCACAATCTTATTGTTCAGGTCAATGTGGCAATTATTGTGTTTATTTTATGCTAAAGGGTCCTGAGGGTTAGATGTATTTTAGGTGGCTGACCAAGTGTTTCCTCCATGCTAAGTAGTATTTGCTTTAAGTGCTTCACATGTTTTAATTTGTTTAATCTTATACAGCATCTACAGGGAACATTTTTATTGTGATCTTTGCTTGGTAGGTAAAACTGTTGAGCAGTAAATTAATCTGCACCAAGTTCAGAGTAAGTGGTAGAGTCAGATAAGAATGCCACTGCCTAGCGTCCATACCTTCCTCCTGATCAAAGATTCATCAATGTATCCCAAGAAATTTGGACAGTGAGTGTTAGAACACGGGTCCTAGCATCCTGCGAAGCTTTTCTACTTTGCATTTGGTTGTATTGTCTCTCATCTCTCTTGTTTTGTTTGATATTATATTTTATAGTGTTGTACACACATCACCTTCCCCACAATGTAATCTGAATTTTCTTAGGACAAGGAAGAGAGGACAATTCCTCACATGTATGGACTATATTCTGGGTCTCAAAAACTTCCAAGCATAAGAGGAACTAGTTAAAATGTATTGAGTTGAATTAAAATTGCATGCACATTATAGGTCTAAAAATGTATGATTAGAATTTTGTAATAAAGAGTTGGTGTGGGAAGGAGAGACTAGTTAAACCCAACAGTGGTAAGGATGGATTACTCTTATGGAGAAAAGCAAGATGACAAAATCAACTTCTAGAGTTCTTTCCACCTGCCAGACTCTATTCATTTTGTCCTTACAACCTGGTGCTATTACCGTGATTTAATGATGGGGGAGACAGTGCTCAGAGTTTATATGACCAACTGAATAATAAATATATAACTAGCTTTTCTAGTTTATGTTATGATTCTTTTCATATATTTTCTTGTTCTCCTCCTAGGTGGTGTCTGCATGCTACCATGAAGATCTCTCTCAGCCAGTTCATCTGCTACAGCTTGGATGTGTTTTGGGGTGTTCCCTGAGTATTCATGTGTTGAGACTTAATCTCCATATTAACATGCTGAGAAGGAGGAACGTAATTTGACTATGGTGGTTGGAGATGCTTCCTTTCAAAGGTGATTAGGATTAGATATCCAGATGGAGTCCCCATTACTGAATTGTTGTGACTTCGGAAAAAGAGAGACCAGAAAACATGCCTCCTCCCCCATCTCTTGACTTGTAATTTTCTGCGTCTTGGCAGGACTACTCCAACAAGAAAGTATTACCAAATGCAGCTCCTTAACCCTACACCTTCAGGTAAGGTGTAAGCCAGAATAAATTTATTTCTTCATGAAATAGCCTGACAAAAGTGTTTCTTGATAGTAACAAATCAAAAACTGCTGCATCCTTTTTACTCTAGCATTCTGCAGTTGCTCATTGTTTAGAAGCTATGCCGTCTTCTACTCTATAGCCCATTCTACATTTTATCATCATTTCAGACTCCTTCCCAATACCTTAGTGTCTTTGTGACTTCAGCCTTGTTGTTCATTGCTTGGAATGCTGTTTCTTTCCTTTCTTCCTGGGGAATCACATTTATCCCACACAATAAAATTCAAATGCATTTCTGTTTGAAGCTTTCTATAACCATACAGATAGAATTAATCACCTCATGAATATATACTTTATTTTTAACAGCAGCAACAACTAACATCTAGTGAATGTTTATATACTGCAATTCAGGTATCGCTGATAAAGAAAATGAGATTCAAAAGCTTTATAAGACTTTCCGAAGAATACAGGATAATTCAATTCTAGATGGACTTGACTCTCAAATTCATAAACTTATCCACTTTGCTTTAACTTCCTCAACTGACCTACAGCATTTACATGTTTTTTTTTAAATCTCTTTCTCTTCAATGCTATGAAGCTGATAGCTACTGATAAAGTACGTTTTGTGTTCTTAATGTGTAGCACAGTATTTGAAATGAAAAAAGGGGGAATTACAGTAAAATGACTGAATGGGTACCACATACAGCCTATTCCTTGAATTTCATATCCCTCATCAGACTGTTATATTCCACACTGCAGGTCAACGATATGCTACTTTACTTTGTCCTCACACTTTATTGACATCTAGAGTTGTCACTTGTGAAACTGATCACCCTGACAACTGTTGACTGTAAGAGTCTTTACTTGGCAGCCATGACTGGAAAGTGTCAGTCATGATGGATTCTGCAACACTTGGGATGTAGTCACTGTCATTTGCTTTCAGTTTGAGTTATTTCAGAACTGGCTGAAATCTGATCTTTTCAATGGTCTTGAACTTCAACATCACACTCTCAGAATACTCCCTTCCCTTTTCAGAGGAACTCTAAAGTGCCACAGAAGTTCTTTGCAGGAAATTTCCTTTCTTACAAAGACTCATGTGCCTCATGCCCTCTGTGCTTTGAGACTGTTATCTGTTACCATGCTCTACTGCACAGACCCATAGTCTGGGATGATCCTTGATAGGAGTGGTTTTCTCATAACTTCTATCTTGGTGCTCATCCTTGGATTTCACACACCATCTTCTCCCCTGCATGCTGTGCTGGAGAACATCCTCTCCTTTCAGAATCCACTGTCCTGCATTTGACCCCTGGGGATTCCCCGTCGGGGGGTGAGGTGCGGGGGCAGACATAGTCCCTTCCCTGGCCCCAAACAAAAGATCTATTCTTTTTTCCACTCTGGTAATAGAGCTTGTTATTGAAGGCTCAGGACCATAAACAAGTGATGTCTGCTCCCTCTCAGGGTCTGGCAGGAGAAGCATCTCCCTTTCTTCATGAAGATTTCTTCTCCAAAGGACAGAATAGGAAACTTCGTGGCATCTTCAAGTTCAAGTGGCAGTAGCAAAGTCCCACTTTGTCTTCCGCAGGTCCTTCAGCTGGGTAGCTCTTCAATGAGACATCCTGTTTAAAAAAACGTCCACACATAACTTAATTGTGTACGCAAGAGAGAGTTTTTCTCTTTAAACAAGTCACTTTCTATAATATCATAGTGCCTCCATCATGTAAGTACTTTTGAATTCCTCAGTTTTTGTCAGAGCCTCCAGACCAATCTTTTTGCAAACATTTACACTTGAGAATATATTTGATTTTGGAAAGAAGCCCAGTGCTATGGGCTTAGTGGTTTGCGTAAAATCGGTGTAAAAGCTGGGTTTGGTCCAAACGAGGTAAAACTGCCAAGTAATGGCGTTGATTGTGTGAGTTGTACTGAGTCTAAAAAGAGATTTCCAAATACAGTGTCGGCGCATGAGTATTAGGTAGTAAACGTGTCTCTCCCGAGTGTGACTAGACTAAGAACGACACAAAATTGAGCACAGATATTGGAGTCCGTCTGTGACCAGCCAGTCTTGCTCCCAATCCGTGAAGGCACAGCTGCCATAGTCTGCTCAAAAAACTCTAAGAAAATATCTAGTGGTAGACTAACAGCTCTCAAATGTGTGACCAGCACAACCCCCCAAATTCTGTTGTTAAAACCAGATTTAAGAACACTGGTATAGTTCCTGAGAATTTGCATGTTTCACCTGCACACAGATGATGAGCCAGAACCCTCTGGGAGGACTATGGCTCTGGACTCTGAACAGCCTTGCTAAGTAAATTAGTTTGGTTTGCACATTGAGCTTTGTGTGTGTTAGTGTGTTGGTTTATTTGTGCTCGTGTGTATATGAACTTCACTTTAGAAGAAGATATTCATGGATGAGCAGGAGAAAACACCATTTTCTTTACATTGGGTGTTTTTTTTTTGTTGTTGTTGTTGAGACTATAACTGAAATTGGTAAGGAGAAAATGATAAAGTAATTTAGATGTTTAATATAACTAATTATTACATGGGCAATATCACATGAAAAAGAGTGAAGGACATTTTGAGGTGTTTAAAGCTGTTATTTCTGATGTGACAATTTTTGAAATTGATGTAGCAGAAGTTCTCTTGTTAGCTAGCTAAAAACAAAATCCTATTTCACAGCTAAAATGTAAACAGCTAAGATGTAATCAGAGGACTAAATTTCACAGCTACAAAAACACAGCTGTGAAACATAACTTTGGAGTGTAATAAAGCCAAATAGCTTTTCATGCTAATGGCGGATATTACAAATAAAGACAAGAAAGGTTTTGTCAGACATTTTAGTGTCTAAATGCCTTCATTAAGGTTACCTTTTATCTGAGGTTTTTTCCAGCTACTTGCCACATATGCATTTATTGAATGACTACTATGATTATCTTGATAGAAAATTCTGGTACAGAGACAATTGTGTTGTTAAGTTAATCTAAGGAGATTAAGAAAAGTCACATAGGTTAGGTAAATTTTAAAGAAATTGATTACATTTTAATTAATTAATTTGTGTGTATGTATGTATGTGTGTGCGTGCACAAGCAAACACACAAAGGTGGAGGTCAAAAGACAACTTCAAGACTCAGTTCTTTCCTTCCACCATGTAAGTCCACGGGGTCAAACTCAGGCTACTATCATGGCATCAAGAGCTTTCACCTTCTGAGCCATCTCCATCTCCCTGGCTCCTTCACCTCTGAACCATCTCCATTTCACTGGCTCCTTCACCTCTGAACCATCTCCATGTCCCTGGCTCCTTCACCTTCTGAACCATCTCCATCTCACTGGCTTCTTCTCCTCTGAACCATCTCCATCTCACTGGCTCCTTCACCTCTCAACCATCTCCATCTCACTGGCTCCTTCACCTTCTGAGCCATCTCCATCTCCCTGGCTCCTTCACCTTCTGAACCATCTTCATCTCCCTGGCTCCTTCACCTCTGAACCATCTCCATCTCCCTGGCTCCTTCACCTTCTGAACCATCTCCATCTCACTGGCTTCTTCACCTCTGAACCATTTCCATCTCACTGGCTCTTTCACCTTCTGAACTATCTCCATTCCCTGGCTCCTTCACCTCTGAACCATCTCCATCTCACTGGCTCCTTCACCTTCTGAACCATCTCCTTCTCCCTGGCTCCTTCTCCTCTGAACCATCTCCATCTCACTGGCTCCATTGGATAATTTTTTTATTAGTGAATTCAGATTGGAAAATTAGTTCATGCAGATTAGAAACTTGCTGGAAAATTTAAAAAAACTCAACAATATCACCACTGCTAATGTTTTTAGTTGTGTGTTTACATTTCCATGGCATTAATTCTGACTACTACTTTGGGTGTTTAGTTGATTTTGAGGAGTCGGGGGTGAGAGTTAAGGCAGAGTCTCAGTGTGAAGCCGGCCTTGCACTCAATTATGTAGAACTGGCTTGCTTTGCACTCACACAATCACAGAGATTCTCTTATTTTAGCCTCCTGAGTGCTGGGTACAGGTGTGGGCCACCATTCATAGCTTATAGTGTTTTGTTTTTTAAGGGCTCTGTTGGCCTGTCCTGGATTTTGGAAGTCCACAATTGTGTATGACTCTGTAAATATATGCATGTGTGCATGTATCTATGTGTCTTTAGAGAGTAGGGATTTTCTATGGACTAGGCTTTTGTCTAATATTGAAAACCTCTTTTTACTGCAGTAAGAAACCAGAGAAGTAGCCAGGAGCTCCATCTAATTTTGTAAGACTAGTTGGCCCTTTATTCTCTGTGATTTGATTGACAGTGTTATATCTCAGAGTTACTAATGTATATATTGTGCTTTTCTTTTTTGAGTTATATAATCAAACTTTTGGGTTGTAATAATTTGGGGTAGTAGGCTATTAAAACATGTTAAACATTTGCTCACCTATAAAATAAGGTACATGGACTGCAAATTTTGGAAGTTTTCTTGCTACTTAGAACTTTGATTTAAAAAAAACTTATTTATGTGTATGTGTTTGTGTATATGTACATAATATGTGTGTATGTGTATATATGCATATGTGTGTGTTTGTATATATGAACATGTGTATATGTGTGTCTGTATATATACATGCATGTGTCTGTGTGCATCTGTATATAAGTGTATGCATGTCTATGTATATGAACATATGTCTGTGTATGTTTGTGTCTGTGTATATATGCATGAATGTGTTTGTGTATATATATATATATGTATGTATTTGTATATGGACATGTGTTTGTCTGTGCACATATTTGTATGTGTGTGTGTTTGCACATGTATATGTGTGGGTACTCCTGGAGGGCAGAAGATGGCTTTGGATCTTCTGAAGCTAGAGTTACAAGAGGTTGTGAGTGGGTGCTGAGAACTGAAGGCTGGTTCTCTGCAAAGCAGCAAGAGAGTCTAGGTGTGGAGCCATCTCTCCAGCTCCTGAGATTCTATTTTTAAAGGATGCATATTTTATGAGTAAGTAGAGCTATCCTTGTAGGTACCTTCATAGGCTCTCGCTTTAAAAATATTTATTTTTATTTATGTGTAAATGTGGGGGGTGGGGGGGCACAGAGGACAGAAGAGGCTATGAGATCACCAGAACCTTGAGATACAGGTAGTTATGATCCACTAGATGTTGGTGTTGGGAGTGAATGTGGGTTCTCTGGAAGAGAAGCCCTTGACTATTAGAGCCATCTCTCCAGCCCTCTCCATAGTCCCCTAATAATAGACCTTGAGTATTGAATATAAAATCTAAAATTTCTTAAAACTCTAGAATATAGACTAACATTCTAAAACACTTTAGCAAACTATAGCCCACATGCATAAACTGACCTACACCTATTCTTTGTGAATAAAATTTTATTCAATTATTTAACAGTCACACGTATTAGCTGACATACTTTTTTTTTTAAAAAAAGTCAATTCATTTTTAAATTTTATTTCTGAGCTTATAGTTTAATTACAATTCTTGCTTCCATTTCCTTCCCCCAATTCTGCCCCTATACCCCTCCCCACTCTCCTCCAAATCTATGGCTTCTTCTTCTGTTCTTCTCCTCCACCTCCTCTTTTTCCTCCACCTCCTCCTTCTCCTCTTTTTTTTTTCAAGACAAGTCTTCTCTGCATGGCTCTGGCTCTCCTGGAACTTACTTTATAGACCAGGTTGGTCTTGAACTCAGAGATTCACCTGCATCTGACTCCTTCCTGAGTGCTGGGATTAATGGTGTTTACCACCACTTCCAGCTTTTTATTAACTCTTATTGCATGCATATAAATATATAAATACATTTATTTTTAAATATAATCTGTTCTGTGTTAGTTACTTGTACATATGTTTTCATGACTGACTATTTGGCACTGGACAACCAACTGGTGTGCCCTTCCCTGAGGAAGCCTACCTCTCCCGCTCCCAGGTTCCCTCAGTTGCCCGTAATTCTTTGTGAAGGGTTTAGGCCTCAGGGGCTTTCCTCTGTCCAATTGGACACATTCATTGCTATCATCCTTATTCGCCTCACATTTGGAGACCCAACATCACCGCAATCTCCCTGATCCTCTCTCTGCCTTTTGCCATCTTTATTACCCGCCTTCTGCAAAGTTCCCAAAGCCTCAGGTGAGGGAGTCTTTTGTAGATAAATCCATTGAGATTGTGTTCCAAAACTGCGTTTTGATTGGTTGCAGTTTTCTGTAATGGTCTCCAACTATCGCAAAGAAGTTTCCATTATAAGAGGTGAAGACTAAACTCATCTGTGGGTCTAAGGACAAATGTTTATAGATTGTTGTTAAGGGGATTATGCTGGTTTAGTAAATTGGTGGTTGTAGATTCCTCTCCAATAACGATGGCAGTTCACTAGCACTGAGTGGTTGGCTAGGTTTCCAGTACTAGGCATGATTTCCTTCTTGTTGAGCCGGTCTTAAGTCCAATTAGAGAGTTGCTGGTTACTACCAAAGTATGTGCCACTCCTGTGTCCTTAGCATTACCCTCCCCTGTGGTTGTTGATGTGGTTCATAGGTGTTATAGCGGGATAGGACTTCTTACCTCCCTCCTTTGGGAGTTTGCATGGCACCTTCTGGTACCATGAAAGTTAGTCCTCATGCAGGGGGCTTTCAGATC